CCTAAATTGCCAAATATATGATATATGTTCAGAAGCGAGGAGGTATAATCCATATGTTTTCCCTTGTGTTATTAACAGCTTCCATCATGGAAAAATCAGTACAGTTTTTGGAGAAAATGGACAAAAAAATCTTCTAGTAATAATGACTAAATTAGATGAAAGATTATGGAACTAACACAATTATTTTTGTTGAAAGATTCACAGTATGATAAAATAAATGCACTTAATAGAATTAAAACCTTCACTTAGAGACAGATGCTGTACTAATAGATTATCAATACCTGTGATGACTTTTTATTGTCTCTACCATTCCAGCTATTTTCTAGGTGAACTTCAAAAGTGCCTCGAGGAGCCAACTAGACTAGCAGATCTTTTCATAAAGCATGTAAGTCACTCTTGGTTAGGATCCTATTTGTGTTGTTTGTAAATCTGTAAACACAGTTTATTGTTAAAAATCTGTTTTAGAGGGCTGAAGTAGCATACATGAAAACATGGCTAAACAAAGACAGGATATAGTTAGCAGGACCCAAACAATGCTCCTAAACAATATCTGACATAAGTGGTTTTCCAAGGTGAATGGGTTGATAAACAGTGTTGAGTGAATAGGCAGAGTAAATATATGTTTAAGTACAAGGATATTGAGATAATGTCACTGGAGACGCTGTAGCTCTCCTCCTTTTGAGAAACGCAAGTTTCCTCCTGCTAATTAACAATTTGTGATGTCCAAGTCGCCTATCCCTGAGCTTCAGTCATAGTTTGTGTAGATATACCAAAGTGTTCTGAAATGAAAACTGGTTCTAAATTGGTCGCAATTACCATGGAAACCACAGGAATCAGCAAGCACATTCCACTGGTGATTAGTCCACTTTAATACATTTGCAAGTGTTTTAATATTAAAACTGGCAATTACAATGAAAACTACAGAAATTAGCATGTACGGTACCCCCACTAATATTGGCACCCTTGGTAAATATGAACAAAGAAGGCAACAAAGATAATGGCAAAATTGTCTTTAATGTTTAACCTTTTGATCTTTTGTTTGAAAAAAATAGACGAAAATACTTTGCTCTCATGGATATCAAACAATTGGAAACAAAAAAATTAATAAAAGGATGTATTAAATATATGTGTGGCACAATTTTGGCACCTGCTTAGTCACTACTTTTTGCTACCTCCTATTGCCAAGATAACAGCTCTGAGTTTTGTCCTATAATGCCTGATGAGGTTGGAGAATACATGACAAGGGATCTGAGAACATTTTCATCTGAACACAGAACCCGATCCCATTTGAAGTTCCAATAGCTTATGGCAAACTGAAGATGCTTGAGTTTGTTTATGGATGGGAATAAAGGCATTTTTCTTGAAACTCTTTCAAACATACTGTGATATTGGATTGTAGTGTTGGAGACTTTCTGGCCACAAAGCTCAACTAACTTCTGCAATTCTCCAGCTGTGGTCCTCTTTATAGTCTGTTGAGACAACATAGACACACAGGCGGCCGCCTTAGGGCGCACCGGCTCTGGGGGCGCAATATTTCAGTGACCGGCAGGAGGGAAGCTCTCCCTCCTGCCAGGCCACCATCTCGATCCCCGGCGCGGCAGTGCTGTGATAAGGCGCGGCGAGGGAGCTCTAATCTCCACCCTCTGCTCCCTCGCGGGCTGCCTACTGATGCCGTGGGAGCCGGAATATGACGTCATCAGTAGGCAGCCCGCGAGGGAGCAGAGGGTGGAGATTAGAGCGCCCTCACCGCCTCTGATCACAGCATTGCCGCACGCCGTCCAGCAGCCCCAGGGACAGGTACATCATCCACACCAGCTCTCCAGGTAGGGAGGCTGGGTGTAAAATCTGTATTTATAAAATAATAATTAGTGAATGTATGTGATGTGTGTCTGTGAGTGACAGTGTGTGTGAGTGACTGAGCGTGTGTCTGTGAGTGACAGTGTGTGTGTCTGTGAGTGACAGTGTGTGTGAGTGACTGAGCGTGTGTCTGTGAGTGACTGAGCGTGTGTCTGTGAGTGACAGTGTGTGTGTCTGTGAGTGACAGTGTGTGTGAGTGACTGAGTGTGTTTCTGTGAGTGACAGTGTGTGTGAGTGACTGAGCGTGTGTCTGTGAGTGTGTCTGTGAATGACAGCGTGTGTGACTGAGTGTGTGTGTGTGTGTCTGAGTGACTGAGCATGTGTCTGTGAGTGACAGTGTGTGTGAGTGACTGAGCGTGTGTCTGTGAGTGACAGTGTGTGTGAGTGACTGTGTGCGTCTGTCTGTGAATGACAGCGTGTGTGACTGAGTGTGTGTGTGTGTGTGAGTGAGTGATTGTATGAGTGTGTCTGAGTGACTGAGTGTGTGTCTGTGAGTGACTGTGTGCGTCTGTGTGTATGTCTGTGAGTGACTGTGTGTGTGTGAGTGAGTGATTGTATGAGTGTGTGTGTCTGAGTGACTGAGCATGTGTCTGTGAGTGACAGTGTGTGTGAGTGACTGAGCGTGTGTCTGTGAGTGACAGTGTGTGTGAGTGACTGTGTGCGTCTGTTTGTGAATGACAGCGTGTGTGACTGAGTGTGTGTGTGTGTGCATGTGTGTGTGTGAGTGAGTGATTGTATGAGTGTGTGTGTCTGAGTGACTGAGCATGTGTCTGTGAGTGACAGTGTGTGAGTGACTGTATGTGTCTGTGTGTGTGTCTGTGAATGACAGCGTGTGTGACTGTGTGTATGTCTGTGAGTGACTGTGTGTGTGTGAGTGAGTGTGTCTGTGTGTCTGTGAGTGATTGTATGAGTGTGTGCATGTGAGTGTATGAGTGTGTCTGTCAGTGTATGATGAGTGTATTTGTCAGTGTATGAGTGTGTGTCTGTCAAATCAGTGAGAGTATGTTGGTCATTGAGTCTGTGTGTGACTATCAGTGTGTCTGTCAATGAGTGTCAATCAGTGTGGGTCTGTCAGTGTCAATGAATGAGTGTGTCAGATCAATGAGTCTGTGTCTGTCAGCGACGTCTGTGTGTTTGTCATTGAGTGTGTGACTGTCAGTGTGTACAGAGTGTAGTGGAGCAGAGCGCGGTACAGGAGCTTCTGTTTCCTGTACCTGGCCAGACTGACAGGAGGTGCTCACAGAGAGAGCACTCCCTGTCAGTCCGGCCGGGTACAGGAAACTGAAGCTCCTTTAGGGGATCTGCTCCGCTCGGCAATGCAACAATAGAGGTAGGAGGCACACCAGGAAGCGGAGTGTGACCACTAAAGGGGTGTGGGGTGCACCAAGGGACAGGGAGGGAATGGGAGAGAAACACCAAGAGACAGGGAAAAGAGGGGGGAGGGGAGAAGAACACTAAGGGACAGGGAAGGGAAGGGACCACTAATGGGAGGGGAGGGGAGGGAAGGGGAGAGGGGCTGGTTAAGAGGCACATAGGTGAAGATTTTTTTTGGGGGGGTGGGGGAGGGGTGGTAAAATGCATCTTCGCGTATGTACCTAAAATTCCAAGCACCGGCCCTATAGCCACCCCATCCCCTCATGTCTATCCTACAACCATCCTTCGTACTCTTTGTGTGTCACTACATCCCCATTGTGTCTCTCAATTCCATAGCTTCCCAATACACACTTACCAATATTGTAGTGTGGCTGAGCAGGACCGTGGCAGATGATGATGTTCTTCATTTTCTGCTGCCCTGTGAGTGGAAAAGTGAGTGGACAAGCAGGCAGGAATATTACTGAAGATCATATCCCCACCCTTTCACTCACTTAGAGCTCCAGTTACAGTCCTGTGAGAGCAACATGCATTGTCTGCCGCCATCCTGCTGAGCAGTGCTGGGGCAAGTGACAGTGCAGAGTGGGGATGCTCTGTACACTTTCTTCCCACCTTTACCAGAGGCACAGGGCCCCCCTAATTAACCCGTTAATGTCTGTAAAGGAAGAGATCAATTGTAGTATGTTATACTGTTTTTTTGCTTCTAGGAGCGCCGGTTGCACATGTACGTGGTATATTGTCAGAACAAGCCTAAGTCTGAGCACATTGTGTCAGAATATATTGACACCTACTTTGAGGTAAGAATTAACCTGCTGCTAATGTTGATATTATATAAACTCCTGTAGAGCAGGGATTAATGGGTTATAAATTATAGTTTATGGCACGTCCACTAAAATTGGCTGAACTATTTTCAACTACCGTATTTCCATATTTTGAATGGGTTCACTGCATGAGCTAAAAATCCCTGAAATTTGCAAAAATAATATGTGGAACCCAGAAGCAGCAAATGCAGGATTGTTTTCATCTTTTCTATTTTGCATCTTTATGCGTTTTTTTTCCCACTGCATTATTTCTTTAATTAGTCAAATAAATTTTTTGTCTTTAAATAAATAGTGAATTGGCATGAATTGACACAAATTTCAGCCTAAATGCCGCCATTCTATGATCAGTTTACCAATATTTACTGTTTAGTGAATAAACCCCAATAGTGCTATTTTCCAATATTCATGTATAACAGCTGACTTCCGTAGTACACAAAATATGATATCCATGCAAAATATGAGTTCGTACACCAGTTTTACAAAGTATAGAAGAAAAATAACAACAAACTATTCCAACAAAGCAATCCACTCTACCATACATACCCTGTGTTTTTCGGTCATGCCATCTTTTTATCTATTTTTTATTATGTAGGATTTGAGGCAACAATTGTCACATCGTTTGCAGCTCAATGACCTGCTCATTAAACCAGTCCAGAGGATCATGAAGTACCAGCTCCTCTTAAAGGTACATGACGTGCTACCTATCAGTAAAAGTTGCTTTACTGTCAGTCTAAAAGGGCTATTTACAAAAGTGATCAAATGTGATGCCCCCAAGTGTGAAAGATACATGTAATCCTGGCATGCATGTGCTCTAAGATGAGAGCATAAAAGTAAACATGCATATACAATTACATATAAACATGTAATTAAAGTGTAGAAAAATATGTATATAGCTACCTATAAAATAATATTGCCTTAAAATGAATCACAGTTTTGTTGAAAAGGCACCAAGTATATTAAGTTATTAAAAAAATAATGCTATTTATACTGAATTATCCATTTTGTGCCAAAACAGGATTTTCTCAAATATTACAGTAAAGCTGGACAAGACACATCAGAACTGGAGGTAGGTATACAGTGCAAGCAAGTTTTACAGTAACCCAGGTCTATTCTAATGCTAAATATAGTTAGGGAGAAAGATTAGCCATGGATCAAACATTAGCTTTCAATCCCTACGCCTTGTCACTGTATTTGTGACATGACCATGTCCGTGTTACTGCCCTACCCTAACCAATGTACGTGCTACTGCACTATCTCCATCCCCTGCACCACTGTCACTTAACAAAAGGGTAAATAAACATAAAATATAACAGAAAAAAATAGGGAATAAAAGGATTAAGATCCCAAGAGGCCCTACTCAGGTTATCAACTTGCCCCTCACCCCCCTTCATTCTTCACTCTCCACTCTCAGGGACAGTGAATGGAGCCAAGCAAATTCATGGTTCCAGGGCTATTGTCTAATCCCTGGACACTAGTCATCTGTTTAGGGTTGCCTTATGTTTAATCCTGCTCTGGACGTGATACTTAGATGCAAAAGGGTACAGAGTGCTACCAGCCTTGGGCCTGGGGGGCAAAACCAGTCAAGTGGCCCATTGCACCACCAAATCAGTTCACCATCCATGCCCACCTTTTCCTGGTTTTATAACGGATATTGATGTTATGCTAATCAGTAGCTCTTTGCCATACCTGCTCCTTCACGGCTCTGACTTTCAATGTTGTCAGAGCGCAGGCTGAGAATCTCTGAGCCTGTGCTCCGACTCACTAACTGAGCGCCGGAACCACGAGTTTGCACCAGTGGACCACCAGCAAATCGTTTAAATTGAATATGCTGGTGTCCCCAACTTGTGAGCTGTGTTGGCCGCTGGGCGCCTCTGTTGTCATGGCACCCTGCGTGACCGCACAGCTTGCACACCCCAACGGCTGGCCCTGCTGACACACACTGATGTTACTACTTAGAAATCCCTCAATATTAATACAGACATCAGAGTAAACACCAATAAACTGTGGAAAGAGCTGATCCCCCCCAAATTTATAAAGATTTGCTTACTGGATTTGTTGTAAGATTAAATCATGCCTCCTCCTCTCTCTCTCCTCTCTCTCTCCTCTCTCTCTCCCATGCGCTGCTCTGTAGGCTGGGAGGAAGTGAAGAGTAATCACAATCTTCCAGCACAGAGCCACCTGTGGCTGCATGGGGAACAGCTGAATTTGCCGCCCCCCATGTGACATCACAATGCCATTACCCATATGATCTGCCATACGAACTAAAGCCAGTGCTGCACACTTTACATTAAAAAGCCTGCGTAGTGGAAGCAGTGTGTATTTGTGTATAAGGGATGTATTGTGTGTTTCTGGTTGTGTGTAAGGGATGCATTACGTGAATCTGTGTTTGTATGCATAAGGGATGCAAGGTGTGTGTCTGTATGTGTGTGCATTGAGTGTGTGTAAGAGATGCATTGTGTTTCTGTGTGTATGTAAGAAAGGCAGTGTGTGTGTTTGCATGTGTGTTTCTGTGTATGTGTGCAAAGGATGCATTGTCTTTGTGTGTAAGGGTTGCATTGTGTGTGTGTGTAATGGATGCATTGTGTGTTTCTCTGTGTGTAAGGGAAGCATGTTGTGTTTCTGTGTGTGTGTAGGGATGCATTGTGTGTTTCTGTGTGTGTAGGGATGCATTGTGTGTTTCTGTGTATGTATAGGGATGCATTGTGTGTGTATGTGTGCGTAGTGTGAAAGAGTTCCCTGTCTTGCCCCCTGTCCTATAGAGCTGTCCCTTCTGTCCCTTAGAGCTCTCCCCTGCCCCTTAGTGGTCTCTCCTCTACCCCACCGTTCCCTAGCGGTCTCTTCTCACACTCACCCACCTTCCCTGTGCTCTTCTCATCCCCCCCTCCACCCTCCATGTGTTCTTCTCACCTCCCCCCTCCCTGTGTTCTTCTCACTTCCCTGTGTTCTCCTCACCTCCCCCTCCCTGTGTTCTTCTCACCTCCCCCTTCCTGTGTTCTCACCTCTCCCCCCTGTGTTCTCCTCACCTCCCCCCTCCCTGTGTTCTTCTCACCTCCCACCCTGTGCCTGTGTTCTCCTCACCTCCCCCTCCCTGTGTTCTTCTTACCCCCTCTCCTCCCTGTGTCCTCCTCACCTCCCCCCCCTTCCTGTGTTCTCCTCACCACCCACCCTCCCTGTGTTCTTCTCAGTCCCCCTTCTCCTCATCTCCCCTTCTCCTCACCCTTACTTCCCCTCCTCCTTGTGTTCTTCTTCCCCCTTGTTCTTCTTACCCCCCTTTACCTGTTCTTCTTCTTACCCCCTTTCTTCTTCTTACTCTCCCCTCCTTCTGTTACTCCCCCTCCTCCTTCTGTTACTCCCCCTCCTCCTTCTCCCCTTCTGCCCCTCTGTTCCCTTCCTACTCCCCTTCTTCCTTTACCCCTCCTTCTGTCCCCCCCCTCCTTCTGTTCTCCCCTTCTGTTTCCCTTCTGTTTCCCCCCCCTTCTGTTTCCCCTCCTTCTGTTACCTCCCCTTCTGTTACCCCCCTCCTCTGTCACCCCCACCCTTCCTCCACCCCTCCTTCTCCTCCTCCCCTCCAGTTCTCCCCCTCCTCCTTCAGTTCCTCCCTCCTTCAGTTACTCCCTCCCCTCCTTCAGTTGCTCCCCTACCTCCTTCAGTTGCTTCCCCTCCTTCAGTTACTTCCCCCTCCTTCAGTTCCTCCTTCAGTTACCCCCCTCCCCCTCCCCCCCCTCACCTCCCCTCCCCTGTAGCGTGGCCGAGTTCCTCTCCAGTCCGCGGTGCCCGGCCGGAGTGATAGGAAGGTGCACACTCAGTCACTCACTGTGCACTTCCTTTCAGTCCGGCCAGGTACAGGAAACAGAAACTCTGCGCGGAACAAGAGTTTCTGTTTCCTGTACCCGGCCAGACTGACAGGAAGTGCACACTGAGTGACTGAGAAGCAGCATTAGGACCGGCCCTGCAGCGGCTGGTCTTAAAATAATTTAGGGCGGCCTGGGGGGCAATTGCCTCCCTATCCCCTGGCCCAGCCCACCCCTGAGTGCTACATATATTTATTGAAGGACATAAATAGACATGTTTTAGGTTCTCCCCTTTCTCAATGCAAAATGTCTTGAGGAAATCAGGTATGCATATCAGAACCAAAGACATGTTTAAGTATATCACCTCCCATCAATACAAAACCTTTATACTTCATTAGTCAAACAGAGTATATATATTGGGAATGTTTAAGACCTTCCCCTTCCCACTTGTAAATGAGGTGGGGCAGGACAGAAATGTGCTGGGCCATTTTACAATGCCAGATTACCTCTTAAAAATGACACTATGGTCACCAAAACAACTTTATCTTAATGAAGCAGTTATTGTGTATAGTTCATACCTCTGTAGTTTCACTCCTCAATTATAATCTGTTACTTAGAAGTAAAATCACTTTTGTTTCCGTTGATGCAGTCCTAGCCACACCTACCCTGGCTGTGACTGACACAGCCAGCATGGAAAAACATGTTTCACTTTCAATCAGATGTAACTTACCTTAAACATTTTTAAGTCCTGCTCTATAAATTTAAATTGAATTACATACAGGTGTCTCCTGCAGGGTCTAGCAAGCTATTAACAGAGCAGGAGATAAGAAATTCTAAATAAACAGAAATTGCAATAAAGGAACTATAAACATTAACTGACTCTTTACAGGAAGCGTGTAGGAAGGTTGTGTATGTCACATGCAGGGAGGTGGGACTAGGGCTGCATAGACAAAGGGATTTAACTCCTAAACAGCAGAGAATTAACTAGTGAGTCTGCAGGGGCATGATCTATACACCAAAACTGCTTCATTAAGTTCAAGTTGCTTTTCTGACTATAGAGACCCTTTAAGGTAGGGTTTCCCCTTGTGGGTGGCTTATGCAAGCAATAGGCAGAGCCACAAACCAGTGATGGAATGCTAAACACAGAGGCAAAGACCACTTGCTCCCAAACTCAGTGGACCGGTTGAATTCAACATTATTCCACGTTTGGTTAACTGTAGTTGCTAACTGCAGACATATTTCAGTACAAAACAAGTAAATAACAGAGGAGGCAGAACAGACACATAATTCCAAAATGTATTTATCAGCTAGATGGAAGTATTATGTGTGAGTCCAACAGGATGAACAAAAAATATAAAAATTAAAAAAATTCAATAAATTATCTAATGATGTAAAAATAAAACCTTTTTTTTTTTCTTCCTTGCATGAAACAATGTGACAATGCCATTTGATGACTTGGTATTTGTTGGGTAGCAGTCATCTGATTCAGACAACCGTGTGACGATTACTACTTCCAAAATGCAACACAGCATCATTATAATATTTAATGTGCTAACAAACTATTTCTAAGATTAATTTAAAGGGGAATGGTCACTCTAACTTGTGTTGACCTTTTTCTTTAACATTAATATTTTAGATTTAGCAAATAACATCATAATCAAGTTAAGAAAAGGCAAAACCAGGGCAAACATTAGTAAATTCTTACATTTCTTCTCTTCTCTGTATGCTTTCTCTATGCTGACTCACTGCCATGTACAAAGGACAGACCTGTTCCAAGCTGCCTAATGTTAAATCAGAACAGAAAAAATACATCCAGAGCATTCATTTCTCAGTAGCAGTCCTGCCGTAATGACCAAAATATATATAAAATACAGAATAAGGTACAGCACACGCGCGCGCACACACACACTCTGAGCTGGTCAGATCTGTTCAATCAAATGCATTGACTTCCACTTTAAAATAAAATAATTTAAAATATTTATAACTCCTTTTGTTTTGCAGAAAGCAGTGGAAGTTATGTGCTTTGTACCGAAGCGATGTAATGATATGATGAATCTTGGCCGGCTGCAGGGGTTTGAGGTATGTACTGAAATGTTTTGGGTTTTTTGTACGGTTATTTTCTCACTTTTGTATTGTTTTTGTCTTGGGAATAGAGATATACATGTGTTTTTTAAACTATGTGAATTTATCCAATCCATTTATATTTCTAGCATTGTACTCTGGCGTAAAAAATGTAAGTTTAACTTTACCCAGATTGCTATTGTTGATGTTCATCTACTAGAGCCCATGTGTTCCATAATTATTATTTTACTCATAAACCATTAGTTGATGAGAATTAAAAAGTGACTTGCGCAATCTAGGCCATACGAGCTATATTAATGTGCCGTCACGAAACACAAAACTTGTCTTTAAATTACAATATTTTATACACAGCTACTTCTGTGTAGTGAGTGAATCTCGAGCTTTGCTAGAGGAATGTAGAAATGGAATGGCTAATGTTACTCAGTTCTGATGTGAGAGCATTGATAATGAAGCCAATGTGTCCACACTCCTCTCATTATGGGAGGAGCACCATTCTTGGAGAAGTGTTCCCACTAAGGTGCAGTTGTTTAGAAGAGCAGGTGGGAGCAGGTAGAAATAATCACAGCATCTACAGCACATACAGGATAGTAAAGCCAGAGGATGAAATATAAATTAGTGTAATCGGCATTTCCTTCCAAATCTCCAAAATTCACGTCTTAGTGAATTACCTCAGCATAGCCAACATACAGAGTTATTCAGTGATCTTAAAACATTTTTGTAATTTAGCCAAAATGTTGTCACTTGGTTTGCAATTTGCAAGTTTTCTCTAAAAAAGATCAACTGAATCTGCTTGTTCTTTACTCTTCTCATACATCTTCTAATGTATGTCTAACTTTCCCAGGTTAATATTAGTTATATGTAATATTGGGAAATAGAACCTTGATGGAAATGATCAAATGTAAATGCAAAACACTTTTGCCAATATCTGTGTTCATTCGTTTTAATGGAGTTCTGGCAGCACGTGGCATGTTTTACAGTTACCTACTGAATGTATTTTTTCTTCTTGTCTATGTAAAAGTTAAATATAAATTTCTGTTTTCTCTAGGGTAAAATAACAGCTCAGGGGAAGCTTTTACAACAAGATACATTTATGGTTCAAGAACAGGAAAGCAGTTTTCTCACTCGAAGCAAAGAACGCAGGGTCTTCCTCTTTGAACAAATTATCATATTTAGTGAACCCATTGATAAAAAGAAAGGCTTCTCGTTGCCTGGGTACATTTTTAAAAACAGCATTAAGGTGAGTGCTTCCAGGTCATAAAAAGAGTAACATTGTGATATGCCCACACACAAACTATCACCGAAGTATGGTTGCATTTTAACACAGTGTGTTTTGTTGCAACCATACTTAAAGATGGTGTTAAAAAATGATTCAACAATCTTTTGTGAGCATATTCATGTCCAGGCTTGTAGACATTTGTATTGTGAATGTTCTGGTTGCTAATGTTTTGAATGCTGAAATGTTCATATAGCAGAGTCGCTTTGTACAACTGAACTGGCAATGAGTTCCTCTCAATCTCAGATATTCATAACGGCTGCCGGTAAAATTAGCAGTCAGATTAGTGGTGGTATGGATTTCAAGAGATCTCACCAGGTGCAGAACTATTGGCGGTGCAGCTGGTGCGAACACACCAGGGACCCAATGGGCCAGGGGGCCCATCAATGCCTGTTGCAATCATTGGAGACTTGAGGCCGTTACCCAACAGCATTGACACAACCAGAGGTTCCCACGCCGAAATAGTGTAAGGCAAGGCTACAGGAAGAAACAACGGGGAGTTGGGGATACATTTAAAATGTTTGCAGCAGGAGTGTGACCATGATATATATTTGGGTCAGTTTTTGTTTATCTGTACGTGTCTAAAAGTGCATGTGTGTCCATGTGTATATCAGTGCATCTGTGTGTATGTTTGTTAGTGTGTATATCTGTGCATCACACAAAAGTGCTACTGTAGCTCAATTTGCTGAAACAAAAACCTATACTGGCCATGATAGAAAGGTGTCAGAACACACTGTTAATTGCAATTTGCTGTGTATGGGGCTGCATGGCCTCAGACCAGTCAGAGCTCTCACCATGACCCCCGTCCACTGCCTTGAGCATCAGAACTGGACCATGGAGCAGTGGAAGAAGGTTGCCTGGTCTGATGAATCACATTTTCTTTTCGATAAGATGGATGGCCGAGTGCGTTTACCTGGGGAAGAGATGGCAACAGGATGCACTATGTAAAGAAGTCAGGCCGGTGAAGGCAGTATTATGCTCTGGGCAATGTTCTGCTGGGAATCCTTGGGACCTGGCATTCATGTGGATGTTATTTTCACACGTACCATCTTCCTAGAGATTGTTTCAGACAATCCAATCTATGGAAGCCCCACCTTGCAACTTGCAGTACTTAAACAATATACTGCTAATGTCTTGGTGCCAGATACTACAGAACACATTCAGAGGTCTTGTTGAGTTCATACCTGAACTCAATAGAGCTGTTTTGGCAGCACCAGAGTGACCTACATGATATTTGGCAGGTGGTTTTAATGTTGTGGCTGATCAGTATATGTGTGGCAGTGTATATGTGTGTCTTATTTTTTTTTTTACCTGTGTCTGTGTTTTTTTTGTGCATTTATAAATGTGAACACATGCCTGCATGCACACATCACACACAAATGCACCCCTTAATTCAAACACTAACACTACACCCAAACATACATCTACAGTCAATCACCAATAGGACAACAAACACATCAATGTATTGAAATGCCTACAATGTGCGCAAAACCAGTCTTGCCTGCACACACCAACACTACACACAAACACACCTGCATTCAAATACACTTTCACATACAGTCACTGCACACGCATACAGCATGGCAAGGATGGGCAAATGGTAGTTTTACAGCTGATGAAGCACCGGCAGAGTTGTTTGACGTTTGAGATTTATCTGTTGGGTGTCCAAAAAATGTTTGCACCAGATTCCTAGATCATCTCAAGCATACTCAGGACGGAACAACACAAAGAGGACAGACTCTGATGCTTGAAGAGTCTTATTGGTGTGGGTAATTCACTAAGCTTTAGCAACTGAATATATCCAGACTATTCTAAATGTTAACCCTTTGCCATGCCAGCATTGGTTTGATCATCCACACAGCCTTTGATTGTCTGCAAATTGTAGATCTCCTTAACAAGGTACAAAATAAATGCTTTATGCGTCACAGGTTAACTGTGGAATCAAATAATTCAAGTTACGCTGGTTGAAAAAATGAGCACATTCCCAGGTTAAAGGAGGATATATGCCCCCCTCACCCCAGCACCATTTAGCTGACAAACATGAACTCGGACACTGCCACCTGTAATGTGATCGAAATGATCAGTGATGCGGCAGTAAACATGCTGCAATATGTAGTAATCTAAAAATAGCCATCACTCTAACAGACTGGTTCATGTGCAGTTTACTTAGACTTCTGTTTTTTTTTTTAAAACACAAATTTAAGACACAAAAGCATTAAGACGGATGAATTATTGACAAAGGACACACTGTTTTCCTATTGAAGGTTGTTTAATTGATACAGCATGTGTATTTAAATGGGTTTCTGCACAGTTTGCTCTGTTCCTACCTATGTACAAAATATTTTACAAGAAGTAAAGCACTACCACTTCTGGTAGACAATCAATTGTCTAGATCAGACTGTAGTGATTGTTTACTGTACAATTAAATATATATGTAAATCAACATGGCTGCAAAAACAATTAGTGCTTTGTAGTTCGTGATAAATTAGTGCATCAAAAAGTTACCTACAAACTATGGTTCATTTATACAGTAACGGTTGTGTTTTTGTGGAAATTAACATCTGTGGCTTGTTTTCATTATAGTCTAGACTGAATGTGTCCTGATGTATTTAGTTTTACCATTACATTCCTAACACTTGAAGGTACAACATATATTTTATGATTACACAAATGTTAAACAAAAAACAGACATACATGTATTCATTGGGGGGAGGGCGGGGGGGAAATCTGCTGCATAGTGATTTCTAATTTTTGCCAATTTGGGCAGTGGAGTGTCTCTTTAATCCTCTGTAAACTTAACTACTACACCAGTCTTGTATGTTTTGCAGACTGAAGCATGTTTTCAATGGAACTGACTTTTATTTGGCTCTATCTAATCTTCCCATAAATGTCGACCATTTCCCCAATCTTTGTCAATAATAAGGATCTTCCACAACCATACTTTATTATGGGGATGGTCTTCACAGGTTAAAGATTTATGTGCTACACAAAGTCCTTTCATTAATTAACTTTCAGCTGCTTTGTAGATAACTCCCTAAATAAAATCAGCACCCTTATATGGGACTATCACATTCAAGGATATCAAATAAGAGAGCTTATTAATAGGTATATAGCTCCCTATTTGGTACACTTCTGTGGATTTCAATATTTAAATTGGGAGCTACCAATTAATTGGTACCCTTTTGTGGATACACTTGGTACACTTTTGGTGGATTTCAATATACTCAATTGGACACTACCTATTAATTGCTCCCTGATTCGGTACCCTTAAATATGGTAACCACACATAAAGGAACGAATTTAAGGAATTTGCAAGAATTAACTAATGAATGAATGAAGCAGGAAGAATTTGGCCATCTCCGATTTGTTTAACACTTCATTCTATTTCGATGTTACATTCGAAATTCAGACAAATGGCCAAATTAGTAGATTTTCAGCCAAATTGTGATTTTTATGAAAACAAATGTCCCAGTCTTATGAGCTCTGTTACTGAAAACATGGACTGTGAATGGGAGCTGCTGACAATATTTATAAGGACACTGTTGTCTCAATGGGACCTAGGAAAATACTTTCTAGGTAACCTTGGGCCAAATAACAACTTAATGAAATGTGAACCCATTAAGCACACAACAGAATGGTTTAAGCAGCATTATTAAGGAAACTCAATAACTTTTAATCAAAATAAATTCCGTGCAGTAAATACAAGAGGAAAATGATTGCCACGGAGATATCATGTATAACCTGCATGTACTTCTGATTTCACAGATCAGTTGCCTTGGTCTTGAGGAGTCTATTGAGAATGATCCCTGTAAATTTGCACTGACATCACGTGGTGCAGACAGGAGCTTGGTCCGCTACATTTTACAAGCATCTTTTCCTGAAATCAAAATAGCCTGGGTTAGAGATATAGGGCAGATTCTGGAAAGCCAACGTAACTTTCTCAATGGTGAGTTATCATTATGTCACTTGGGTCATTGTTTGGGTCTCACAACACTCCAACTGTTCCATCTTTTTTGGACAATACCGTTTTACACCATTTTTTTCAAGAACTAATATTATGGAATCTTTTTGACTAACTTAATTCCATTTAACAATAATGTTAATAACTGACAAAGGAAGAGAATAAACAGGAGAGGGAAGAGGAAGCAAACACGTGAGTAAAGAGATCTATAATATATGGAAAGTTTAAAAAACCCTATAAATTACACTGCAAGGATAGATTTTTTTAAATGGATTTATACATTGTAGTTGGTACAAATACCATAGTTTATTTTTGAATAGTAATAAGTTCACTCATTAAGGGATGGGTTGCCTAGACCCCATACTGTATACCCAGGCAGTTCGGAGTCCCTGCCCTTAATACCATCATTTTTAAAGTATCAGGTACATGGAGAGGGGTTGGAAAGTATGAAAAGTAATAATTGCAAGTTTGAGAATCATTATATCAGTGCAGAATCAGACAATCAGCTTTAGAATACAAAACCCTTACTAACTCATCAGCTTCTAAAAAGTGCAGAAATGGTCCAGCTTAGTAGAACACAAACCTTTTTTGCTCTTGAACTGTTTGGTTCCTTCGGGACATGATCAAGGATAAAAATACTTTTTTTTTTAGTTCACGTTGAATGTTGAAACATGTTATTATGCATTTAAAGGAGGATTAGCTGCCACTGGTTTAGTCACATCTTTTTTGATTGTTGCATCATTGGTAGAACTAAAATCTTTACAATTGTTTATTTATTTATTTTTTAAATGATCTATATTGCTTTTTTCTTGTTGAGAAAATGTCACTTTTTTTTATCTAGCTGAGTAGATAAATACAAAACAATTGCAGCAGCAGTCAAGTTAGGTTGAGCAGCAGTTGGTCAGATAACAGTAGAGCCTTACTCAATATGGCTGCTCAGGCAGATAAAACAGCAACATTTTCTCAAAAAACAAACAATATATATAATTTTTTTAAAAGAGTTTCAGAAAATTTAATAAACTTTTAAAAACCAAAAAGTGAAAAATTGATGATAGTATATGTTAATAAAATGTTTTAGACGAGAACAAAAATGCCACTAGTTGCTCTGGTACATTATTGTTTTATGCGGAGGAAAGAAGGACAATAAGCAATTTTCTTTAAAAAAAGTGGAGATACTGTTGAGTAAGAAAAAAAAAGTTCGCTACTCGTACTTTTTTTTCTGACTAATTTATTCTAAACATTTTCAGCCCTTCAGTCGCCTATTGAATACCAACGCCGAGAGAGCAAATCCAATAGCCTTGGCCGAGGCTGCAATAGCCAAATGATGGAAGCTGCCCGTGGTGGCCTCAGGCCCCATTCTTCCGCCTCCATGGATAGGAATAAAGTGCCCAATCTTAAATCATATAATTCTTCCCTGCCATCCCTATATCTGCCAAGCAACTCAAGACCAGACAGCAGACATCTTGGAAACAAGGTAAACAGAAGCACTGCTTTTTTAAGGAAGATGGTAAAAATATTTTTGTTCAAACTAGTGGCTGCCAGATGCATTCACTAGAGTGTAAATGGTCAGAAATTCAAATTGAACATTTTAGACCAAAATAGTTGTAATGAGAAATTTCTCCAAGTTATTAAGTTTACAGTTATTTTGCCCTTAAATGTTAAATTAAGTTTGAATGAACTTTGAATTTCCAGCCATATTCACTCTAGTGAATAAACCAGTAAATCTCCAAGCCAATTATGCTTTCATGTTTTCAAGTTGGCAATTTTTTACTATTTAAAAACTAATCTTGAATTCCCGACCGTCACGGCAGGCAAGGTTACATACAGACAAAATAATCTCTTGTGACCTTGTGTGAGCATATTTTTCAGGAAGAAACCATTTATACATTGATGACGAAATTATTGTCATTCACTTGATTGCACTGGTGTAAACATGTTACCATTATATTGCTAGACTCTTACAGATAAACATGATGTATTTTTGTTGTGCAGGACGCAAAGGAACCAGTCTTTTATAACATATACTGACAAAAACAATAGGCAGTTCAATACTATTTGCGGAAAAATGCACCTCAACTTTACCATGCCTGGCGTATTCAAACTAAAGTTATCTGATACTGTTTAATAATATTAGAGTGACATTCATGCTTTAGCTCAGCGGATCCCCTTACATATAATATAAAAAGTACATTGTTCCAAATACACATTTTGGAGGCAATAGGATTTAGTATAGATGACCGGGCAATGAGTTAGTTTAATGCTATTCTGTACAGGTTAGGAAATAGAGAGAATGAGTTTTAATTCCTCCTATAGTCGTCACTATAACTGGTGGAAGTGGAAGAAAATGAAGGTTCAACATGCTGCTTCTTTAACTTTTCCACACTATTGTACGTATTTGAAAAAAAAAGAAAAGAATATTTATTAGGTGTTTTTTTTTAGCTAATTTCACTTTTAAAGGTGCAGTTTCCCTTTGGAATATTTTAATTTTAAAAACGTTTTATTCACAAAGTTTTATCACCATTGTTTACACATTTTAACTTGATTTTTTGTATTTGTGTATTACACTCTTGTATGTGTTTATATAAATATTTATACACACACACGCACATACAAATTAGGAAGCAGAAGTAGCTCTTGCCAGCCTCCTACACTATATTTTACTATTTAATGATTTCACTCTATATTATTAGTGGTGGAAGTTAAGATTTCTCATTTGCATTTGGTTTCAGGAGTGTTTAGGACCCCTATGTTAAATATAAATTTTTTGATGTTTGGAGACACAGTGTACAAGCTACTGACAGAAATTATTTTTTTTATGTGTAATAAGAAAATGGGGTAGTGCCTTTGTATAGTCTCTGAGGTAGATACGTTCTTAGTGGTTTGATGGATATTTAAAAAAAATAACAAGAAAAATAGTGTAATGATGTAATATGTCCCGTATAGGTGAATATATAAAAAGAGGAAATGTACTTACAGATTGCTAGTCAATCTCTACATTCTGCAAGTGCATTTCCTCTTATTACATATACAACTGTACATGACATTATACACTATATTTTGTTGTACTCTTCTTTTTTACATATCCAACTACCCACTATCTACCTCAGAGAATATACAAAGGCACTACCCCCTCTTTCTTATACACGTATCTTCTATTGGACCGGAGACACTCTATTTAAGCTGCCTATTTGTTTCAACTGTAAGCAATAGAAACCTAGTAAACAGTCATTTTAATTCTTTTTTTTTTTTTTTAACCAAAATAGTGCTTTGCATCTCCTTGGATATAAGTGGCCACATTTCAGTTAGGTTGAATTTGAGTTTGTACTTACTTACTGATCGGACGGGCATCTCTATACTAAATCCCATTTCTCTCCCCCCCCCTCTACTAAATCTCCGCACTCCCCTCTACTAAACCCCAGCCCTTGTTTTAAAAAACAAAACAAAACAAAACCCAATATCAGCCAACAAGCAGACTCTACTCACATTGCCGCTACCAGTATGTGACTCTGGAGTCCAGCCTCTGGTATACCCCCAACGGCGCCGTCCGCACCCTATGCCAAAGCAGATCCTCCCGCTACTCCTTGAAAACCTGTGAAGGTAGAGAATGTTGATGTCACGTCGGAAAGTGACGTGACATTGCATGCCTCTGTGCACCTCCAGGTCCTCCACTGTTCAGCCGCGGCCATCGCAATACTGACCAACACACACAGACACACTGACAGACAGACACACACAGACACACTGACAGACACACACACACATTGACAGACACACACACACACAGTCCCTGACAGACAGACACACACATTATATGACAGACAGACACACACACACTCTCTGACAGACTCACACACTGACAGACACATTCACTGACACACACACAATCTGACAGACACACACACTGACAGATACACACACACTCCATGACAGACACACACACATTCTCTGACAGACAGACACACACACACACACGCTCTGACAGGCACACACAAACTCTCTGACACACACACACACATACTCTCTGACAGACACACACATTGACAGACACATTCACTGACAGACACACACTCGCACTGACAGATACACACACACTCCATAACAGACAGACACACACACATTCTCTGACAGAGACACACACACACACACTCTGACAGACACACATACACTCTCTCTGACCGACAGACTCACACACACACACTCTCTGACACACACACACACACACACACATTTCCACATTCTTGCACACACCAACATCATTTGATTTATTGCTCCCTTCTTTTGCGAGCTGGTGTGGGGCCTCTTCTCTCGGGAGCTCAGTCTTCCTGCTCCTCACTGCTCACTCACATGCAGGTCCAGACTGGGAATTAAAAGCAGCCCTGGAAAAAAATTATTTACCAGCCCCATAATGCGTTGCGCCAGCATCGTGTGCAGATACAGAGTTAGAACAGATAACTTAAAATTAAAAATTATTACTCCAACATGAAAAAAACACTCATAGGCTTCAAAATAAATAAAAGTGCAGATTTATTTTAAACAGACATGCCTTTACATGTAATCAATGTCTCAATCCAACTACCATGACATATTAAGGAAAGCTTGGTAGTGGGACTGAAATGGTGAATGTATGTAGGGCACAACTGTAAAAAATGACGTTATCTTGTTTATTTTGAAGTCCTGTGGGTGCGCTCTTCACTTTGAATATGTTATTGCGCTGGAGTATGCACCTAGCAACAAGACTTGACCAATATCTGCTCATTACATATGGTACATATTAATGAAATTTCTCTGTGTATTATGCATATATAAATGTACATTAATATATGTTTAAATATTAAAGTGCATAATTATATATATAACTAATACACACATTAATATACATGTCATATATATATATATATATATATATGGAAGGCGTGGCCTGAAGTTGTGGGAAGGGCTGGGTTACCCTTCTTAAGGGACTCCAGACCCTTCCCTCACTACCTGTTAGGTGCGACGGATTGCTGGGGAAGTATACGTCACTTCCGGTTTCGGACAGCAGTTTCCGGCGGGCTGGTGCGCGTTAGGTCGGGCAGTTTTTCGGAGGCATCCAGGATTACCTCCGGATACCACGGGTTGGTGCGCGCTAGGTCGGGCAGTCGGCGGGCAAATTTTCACGCTGCAAATCGTAAGTTAAAACGGCCGGCGCAAATTTGGCGGCGCGGCCGTTTTACGTCATCACTAAGGGTCAATATGCTACACGCTCACAAAGTACCAGTATAATACAATGTTATACAACAACCTATTCACGTCTTGATACTTTGTCACTTTATAAGCACACTTATGCTTATTTCTCACGTTACTTTTATTCTTGTGTCCATTTCATTAAAACGCTGTTACTTAAAATCATACACTGGTATAGGCTCCAGAGCTACCTCTGGTGTCTAAAATTGTATTTAGAGTTTCTTGTACCTGTTCTGTCATTTATGCTATTTTAAGTTCATAAAGTTTGCAGTTATTTAAGCAAGTTTGTCATATGAGGTTACAACCAGTAATGTGTGCAGATACTTTTATGTTGGGCGCGTATTTTAATACAATTATTAGGCTGCTAGCCTAACAATGACTACGGATCATGGTATTGGGAATTTATATATATGCATGATTAGCACTTAAGATGTCTTTTAAACTCTTTTCAGTATTTTCTCTGCATTTCCACGGTGGGCAGCTATTCTAACAACTTGCACAGGACTTAGGTCAGTTCACTCGAGTTATTTTCTACTTAACAGTCACCCTACGCCAGGGTCCTTATATGTGTTTTCTGTATTTTAGGTATAGGCATCCTTGCTCTTTTGTTAATTGGTGCCCAGCCCTCTGCTAGGGCAATATTGCTGGTAGGTATCTGAATAACAGGGGAGTTAGGGGTCATATTTCTGTGCCCGTTCAAATGTATATTACTTTCGTAGGTGACTACAGATCGTCTGTACCTCCTTTTCCTCATAATAGCTGTCAACCCGCTCATCAGGTACGTCATATCTTTCGACTATTATTCCCCATACCTTCCCTTTCGGCTTAGTACAGATTTACTGGCTTACAATAAATAGGACCCACTAGCTACGTTTTCTGGCCTCTTATGCCTTACGTTAGTGGTCCCGTGAGGCCAACACCCATCCTCATTTCGGAGGTACGGCATCCCCTCGGGCCCATTCATAGCTAGCCGCCTCGCTTAGTTGCATAGAGAGGGCCTCACTTGTCACTCCCATTCTGTCTTATGCTGTTACAAATCACAGAGAGGCCTCCACCCCGCCATAATGCCAATGGCCACGTACTCCACACGAGCCAAATCATAGATAGCGCCTCTCATAGCCGCTTGGCTACTAGCAGGGCCTCACCTGTCACGTTACTTAATAATTCTTCGCCGCTTGGCATTAGTTATCATAAGCCAGTTGGATAGCACCCCAGGTAACATGTCATTTTATGTTATAGCATGTCCCAAGTTCCGGAAGGAAGGGAAGATGAGTCCTTACCCAGTACACCAGCTAGATCAGTCACTCCGTCTCGGGGTGACGACTTCGCAAGCCCTGCCTCACTCAGGGCATGGACTATTCCCAGGATCACGGCCGAATTAAGGAAGAGAAATATTCCTTTCCCTGCTACAGCTAGGAAAGCAGAACTGTACAGATTGCTGAACACACAGACTGATAACGCGGGGGCGGGTGAAGGGTCCAGTGGCACCCAGTCTTCAGAGCTGAATACGATTCTGTCCTCAGTTCTGACCTCTTTGGGGCGTATTACTGACAAGCTAGACAAAATGGATGCAGATAGCCAGCAAAAGTCACTGGCTGCTGCAGTGGATCCGGCCGCTTCGGTCCATTTGGACCCCCTACCGGGTAATTTACAACATAGGTTAAAGACCCACATATTATTAACCCCGCACACATGGTGCCTGCTAAAACAAAGAAGGACATCTTGGAGGGGAAAGATATCAATTTGGTATCACTTTTGATAGCCTCACAAGATGTCCTAGAGAATAAGACCTACGCTTACGGTGATGTATCAGTGGTATTGAAGTCCAGAGACCCCAGGTTAAATCAGAAACTATCAATACCAGAATTTGTACTGGCTTTCGGTATATACAGAGATGTAATATGCTCGGTATACCCGGATAGGAGGGAGGAACTGGACCTGTATCTCCACAAGCTGGTGGATTTGGGGCATAAGTACGGTGGTACGTCTTTTTACGACTACCACCGTGCCTTTTCCGCGAAGGCGTCGGCAGCCCTTTCACAGTTCAATTACCAAACGGATTGGGGCGTCCTGGATACTGAGCTTTTTTGCCGACACTTCGCGGGCCTAAAAACCCCAGCTTGTGCCATTTGCTCGTCCAATTCTCACACGGCTAATCTGTGCCCTAATTCTCCAGAGGTAAACGCTGTTTTTCCACCTCCTAATGTAGTGCCCACTGGGAGACCTGGCAAGGTGCTTAAGGATAAACTAGGCCGTGACATAGTGTTTTTGGGTAAATCGCAGGTCTGTAACAATTTCAACTCAGGTTCCCGCGGTTACAGTGCCTGCAGACTTCTCCATGTTTGCTCACTATGTTTCAGAGCTCACTCCAAGGCAATGTGCCCAAATAAACTATACCCTAAGCAGTACTTATCGTCTCTTCATGTCTCCCTACTGCAACAACTTTTGCGGGATCACCCTTCCCAACATCTCGTTGATTTTTGGTGACAGGGTTTAAGATGGGGTTTCACACGGGTATTATTCACATGCCCACGGGGACCCTAGAATGTAATAATTTGCAGACAGCCTTGGCAGCACCCAACACTATCGACTTACTCCTACAGAAGGAAATTGACCAAGGTTTCTTATTAGGCCCTTTCAACCCCCCGCCTTTCGCAGTTTGGAGGACAAACCCCATAGGACTGGTCACCAATAAATCCTCCAATAAACAAAGATTAATTCTCGATCTGTCCGCCCCCCATGCATCTCATACCCCAAGTTTAAATTCACTAATCCCGTCCGAGGAGTTTTCCCTCCAGTATGCCACCATCGATCATGCAGTCACAGCCATACTCGCAGCAGGGGTAGGGGCATGGCTAAGTAAAACTGATATTGCCAACGCTTTTAAGCAGCTCCCTATCCACCCATCCCTATGGAATTTGCATGGTGTTAAGTGGCGAAGTTCATATTACTTCTTCACGCGTCTCACGTTTGGCTCAAAAAGCAGCCCTAGGATTTTCGATATCTTCGCCGAGACGTTGTGCTGGATGCTGCTTAACATCTACAGATGTCCCACAGTTATCCATTACCTGGACGATTTCCTGACCATAGAAAGTAACCTAGTACCTCCCAGTAGCCTCCAGTCTATCACAAAACTGTTTACACAACTAGGGGTGCCTATTTCACCTACCAAGACTGAGGGTCCGGATACTATCATCCACTTTTTGGGGGTGGTACTGGACTCTGTACACATGCAAGCTAGCCTACCCAGAGAAAAGATTGAGCGCATCCTGGCAGCTATCGACCTTTACTTAGGAGGAGGCTCATGCAATAGGAAGGAGTTGCAATCCTTGTTGGGTTCTCTAAATTTCGCTATGAGAATCATTCCACAAGGTAGAGCATTCATTTCAAGGTTACTTAGCCTGTTTCCAATGTTGCAATCTGACACCTCCCGCATTACTTTAGACGTACAGGCCACCGCTGACCTACATATGTGGAGGGAGTTTTTGCAAAATTGGAACGGGAAAAGCATGTTTATACCGGTTTGGTCAGAGAAATCGGAGTCAGTCTGGACGGATGCCGCAGCCACCTCAGGTTTTGCAGCAATATGGGGAAATGAATGGATGTGGGGAGAATGGCCTAGGGAAATTACAGAAATTCCCCGGTTTAAGGACACATCAGCCTTGTTTGAGCTCTATCCTATCTTAGCGGCAGCAGTTAAGTGGGGAGCAAGTTGGTCCGGGAATACGGTTCGTTGCTTCTCGGACAATATGGCAACATGCCATATTGTAAACAAGGGGCGTTCCTCTTCCCTCACCATCATGCGTTTCATGAGGACTCTCACATGGCTCGCTGCAAAACACAGTTTTCTTCTCACTTGTGTTCATGTGCCTGGGGTTCTCAACATTGCAGCTGATCATTTGTCACGGTCTCGGTTTCAGGAGTTTCGGGAGGCCCTGCCAACAGCTGCCCTCATACCAACTCCAGTTCCAAAGTGGCAGGAAATGATCTGGGACTAAAAGTTCTGCTATGTCAAGGGCGACAACTCTCACAGCTCGGTCTCTCCGATAATACCAGGAAGGCATATGAAAGGGCTTTCCATGTTTTCAATAAATTCTTGTTGGACTTTAATGTCACTGACCAGTTTTCTATGGAAACCATTATTGCTTTTATTTCTTTTGCCACTTTCGTCTAACATTATCTTACAATACCATCAAATTATATATCACAGGCATTCAACATCACATCCTCACCACTTGGCCTAACAAACAACGCTTTCTGTCGTCCTACCAAGTTAAGGCTATACTTAAAGGCATCAAAGACTCCGCCCCTATAGCCTCACCAACTAGACTACCCATACACGATGTATTGTTTCAGTCACTGTCAAAACTACTAGACACCTCACCCTTTGAAGCTCATACTAATCATGTAATTAAAGCCGCCATCTATCTAGCATTTTACGGGTTTTTACGGCCCCGAGAATTCACTACTACTAGCTATAACTCACCCCTTTTCCTCACAAGGTCCGATCTCATAAAGGTCCAAGATCACTATCTTCTGTTACTGCACCATACCAAAACAAGCGCCCCCGGGCAAACGGTCACTATACCCTATTACCCCACAAGTAATACTTGGTGCCCGGTGAAGGTTTTCGACACACTTCTTGCCTTTGACAATATGGGCCACACACAACCACTCCTGTCCTTGCACGGCAATAAGCTCACTACGAGCCAATTCATGATGTATATTAGGATATTGTTAGCCCGGTTAGGACTGAACCCAGCCAGCTACTCTGGTCACTCTTTTAGAATAGGAGCCGCCACCACTTCTAAAAAGAATATCCCTGCTCACATTATTCAGATACTAGGACGATGGAAATCTACGGCATACACTAGATACATACCTCAGCCCATACAAGAAGTACGTCTGGCTTTCAAAACTATGAATTTGTAATCTGTTATGTCCGGTTGTAGGACGAATAAATGGTTCTCTCTTTTTGCCCTCTTTTATTTCAGGCCTACTTCCTCGTCAGTTCCGGCACACCACAACTGACATTTCCTTTCATGGTTTGTCCTATGTATATAAGTTATACTACGGCTTATGCCCTGACCACAAATGGAAGGCGTGGCCTGAAGTTGTGGGAAGGGCTGGGTTACCCTTCTTAAGGGACTCCAGACCCTTCCCTCACTACCTGTTAGGTGCGACGGATTCTCCCACCCACCACACCGCTTTCATAAGCATTTTTATAAGGTAGGCCCTCTTTTATTTCAGGCCTACTTCCTCGTCAGTTCCGGCACACCACAACTGACATTTCCTTTCATGGTTTGTCCTATGTATATAAGTTATACTACGGCTTATGCCCTGACCACAAATATATATATATATATATATACCAGTGGCGGATCCAGAGCCTGATCTCGGGAGGGGCACTTATAGATTATTTAAAGAAATAATCCATGCACAATAACCACTACTGCTCTGTGTAGTGGTTATGGTGCCAGGAGTGCCGGGACCCGCTCCCAGAGTAAGTAGTCAAACCGTTTAAGAACAGTTTGACAACTTACCTGGGGTCTGCTGGGATATGGGGCTGTAGTAGGGTATAGGAGCAGTGGTGCAATGTGTGAGGGGTGCAGTTTGTGTGAAAGGTTCAGTGTGTAGGGTGTGTGGGGCAATGTGTGTATGGGTGGCTGTGTGCGGGGGGCAATGTGTGTATGGGGGTCTGTGTGTGTGTATGGGGGGGCAGTGTGTGAATGTGTATGGTGTGTGTGCAGTGTGTGTGTATGGGGCTAGAGTTCATTCTCACCACTGCGACCACCAGGAATCCCTGGTGGTCGCAGTGGTGGGAGTGAGCTCTAGCCCGGAGCTCAAGGGTTAGAGTTCACTCTCGCGAGAAACGGAGCGTTGCCACTGTAACCGCGGCAATGCTCTGTACTCGCGCAAGAAGGACCCGGAGGAGCTGCAGGCTGAGCTCCTGGGTCCTCTCTTCCTCCCTTTGTGTCTCCCCCAGTCCCTCTGTGTGTTTCTTTCTCCCCCTCACTGCTCATCTGTGTCCATGTCTCCCCTCTCCTTCCCAGTCTCTCTCTCCCCCCTCTTTCTCCCCTTGTGTGTCTCTCTCCTTTCTCCCTCTGTGTCTCTCTCTTCCCCTCTCTCTTTCTCCCCTCTTTCCCTGTGTCTCTCTCTCCCCCTCTACCATCTCTCTATTCCCCCTCTATCTTCCCTTGTGTCTCAATCTCGCCCCTTTCCCTGTGTCTCTCTCTCTCTCCCCCTCTACCATCTCTCTATTCCCCCTCTTTCTCTCCTTGTGTCTCACTCTCCCTCCTCCCTCTTTCTCTCCCCCTTTCCTGTGTCTCTCCCTCTACCATCTCTATTCCCCCTCTTTCTCCCCATGTGTCTCACTCTCCCCCCTCTGTCTCTTACTCACCACTTTCCCCGTGGTACTCTCCCTCCCCCTCTGTCTCTCTCTATTCTCCCACTGTCTCTTTCTTCCCCTGCGTCTATCTATTCACCCTCTCTCTGTTTTATTTTTTTCCCCCTCCCCTTGTGTCTCTATATTACCTTTCTCCCCCCCATCCCCCCATGAGAGGAGTCAGGGAGGCCGGCCGCATTCCACGCTGGAGATGCCGGGCGGCAGCCTCGCCAGTCCGGCGGCACTCCTAATGCTGAGGACTGAAGGAGGAGGAAGCATGTCTCTCTACCATGCTCCCTCATGGTTCCCACAATTCACAGCGTGGGAACCGCGAGGGAGCATGGTAGAGAGACACGCTCCCTCCTCCTTTTAGTCCTCAGCATTAGGAGTGCCGCCGGACTGGCGAGGCTGCCACCCGGCCCGGCAGCTCCAGCGTGGAACACGGCCGGCCCCCTCTGAGTGTGCCACCGGACCGGCCACCCGGTGGCACATACCTGCGCAGCCCCCAGATGCCGCGGCCCAATTTTCCCGTTATCCTGGTGGGCCAGTCCGGCCCTGCTCACATGTGCAGTTTAGTGATGCCGGGTGCTGGAATTACGTCATATTCCATCACCTGGCATCACTACAGTAAGCGCGCACGAGGGAGCAGTGAGGAGCAGGAAGACTGAGCTCCCTCGCTGCCGCCAGCGACATCTCCTCCCCGTCCGGGTAATTTTGGCAGAGTAGGTACCTGCAATGTGGGGCGAGAAGATGCCTACTCTGCCTTAGTAATCATGGCAAACTCGCGGCTCGCTGGGCCGCAAAGATATTTATTGTGGGCCATGAGTTTGACATTATAATTTAACTCGGAAATTAAACAATTATCTTGTCAATAATTCTGTGATGAAGGATCCTGCCTTCACATTTATCAGTCTATGTGATACTGTACACTGTAGACTGGTAAATGTGAAGGCAGGATCCTTCATCACAGAATTATTGACAAGATAATTGTTTTATTTCCGAGTTAAATCATAATTGTTTGGTGGTGCAATGGTTCATACGTGCTGACAAACTGACTTCCTTTTAGCATGGTTTTGATAACAAGATGGAGGATCCATATAGCACATTAGCTGACAGAAGCAATTAACTACTGATCAGATTGACATCGTAAACTGTTAGTATTTTGACTTGGATTCAATACCTTTACCTGTCACAATGTGGCAGTATAGGACTCTAAACATGGCAGAGCTACAGACTAACATGCATACTTTATTATAATTATCATGTACTGATATGAAACAAATTCCCAGCACTAAATTTAGAAAGTAAAGGGTGTTAAAATGTTTAACTCCTTCATTACCAAACACTTTTGGGGTTATACATGGATGTCCGGCTGCATACGGGGCCCTTTGGACTGCAAAATATGCACATTGCCAGTCTAACTTCTCTTGCTGTTATTGCAAATACTGGGAAAGTCTTTATAAGGGCACTATGAGGACGAAGGTGGATTAATTTTATTGCGCATCATTTTGGGATTTTTTTTTGTCTTTTTTTGTGAATCTGTATTTTTTAATTGGTAACATTGTTACCAATTCTGTTATTAAGGATTTTAATTTGGGTATTTGGGGTAAGAGTTCAAGATAGGAAGAGTTGAAAAGAAAGACGACAGGTACTAGTTTTATTGGCCCTCCTAAAAATGAGGTCAAATGGGGTCGGTATGGTTGTTTATTTGTAATGGCGGTTGGCTAGGGGATTAGGGATAATATTAAAATTAGGTACTCCTTTAATATCATATTTATAATTAGGGCCCCCATTAGGTTATCCACTAGGTCTGACTCCTTATATTAAAATAGCCCTTACTCGTTGGACACAGGTGGTGTCTGTTCCACATTATTTATTTTAATGTCGCCCACCAGATGCTCTTGGGGGGAATATTTCACCCTCTGTTATTTTAAAGGCACCATCTCCATTGGATGTTTTTTTTGTTTTGTTTTTTGTGACAGGGCAGCAATGGCTGTCCAGTTGCTAGTTTTAAACATTTAGTAGATATGCACCCATCTTCCCCATGGCAAGGGGGTTTAAAAGTTCCCTTACAGTATTTTCAAGGTCTTATTCACCCTCCCTCACATGGTTTGTAATCTATTTGATTTTACTTTTTTAATGTGGCGGCCAGCTTGCAAGCACTGACAAGCCACCACATAATAAACTCTTGAGTCGCTGAAATTTTTAAACTATTTTCCTGCTGTGTGCTAGCACTGGAAGAAAGAGCAAATAGTACTTACAAGTATTGTCCGCTTTCATAAAAGTAAATTAACAATACTTTGCAAAGGTGCATCCTGCAATATGCATTTGACTTAGAATGTTAGTTAAAGGGACTCTCCAGTGCCAGGAAAACATGCGTATTCCTGGCACTGCAGGACCTTGCAGTGCTCCTCTACTTCCCACCCCCCATCCCATGTTGCTGAAGGGGTTAAAACCCCTTCAGTGACTTCTGCTATGCTAGATAGCACTAAGCTACTTTTGCATACATGGGACTCCTCCCGTAAGAGCATACACCCTGGGCGGCAACCCCTCCTTCGACTACCAATTATGGCATAACAAGGGATGTACACTAGTAGCAGACCTGTATCAGGGCACAACCTGGAAAGGCTTCCCAACTCTTCAAACCCAATACCAGCTACCACAGACAGCTATTTTCTCTTATGTCCAACTTAAGTCTTATATGCAGACCACGACACAAACGCTTTATGCCCCCACAGTTGTCTTGCTTCTCACAAGCCTAAAAACCTCTTATCCAGTATCTACCAGGCACTTCTTACACCTCGAACTGAGCTACACGACACATACACGACGGCATGGCACAAAGAGATAGGTAAAATTTTCACCACAGAGCAATGGCAAGAGGCATATACAGCACACAAAGGGACTACGGCTTGTACAACACATCTAGAACTCATCCAAAAATTACAATACAGGTGGTACCTGGTTCTGGCAAGATTGGCGCACATCTACCCAGGCACATCAGACAAGTGCTGGAGGTGTGGGGTTGAGGTCTGAACCATGTGCCATATCTGGTGGCAATGCAGGGTGCTTCAGACTTACTGGGTTATGGTTCAGGGAATAGTAAACCAAACACTAACAACGCAGGTAACATTAACGCCAGAATTTTGCTTATTATACATGGGCCTGAAACAGATACCGGTCATAGATCGCAAACTGTTATTTCATATCCTCATAGAGGCGGACACGTTACTTGCTAGGCGATGGAAACAATCTACAATACCCACGAAACATGACTTACTACAACGCCCGGTCTCCCCACTCCCAACATAACGTACCCTCTCTCCCCTAACTGAGTACCCTACTCATGACACAGTGCGCTGCTGGGACCCGATGTCAGGGATGGCAAACCTACGAACCACTTTATAAGTGACCTACGTAAGGTCATCATAAAAAAAAAAAAAAACACTACATGATATGCATGTCCAGATCTGAGCTGGGAGTGTGGTGGGCCAGGTAGCTCATGCAATCAAGGGGTGGGCTCGGGGTTCTACCCACTGCTTGCAGGGGAGAACCCTGCGCCATATCGCGACAGCACTGCAAACAAAGATCCCGGAAAACGGATTACACGACACGCACCACAGATGATATATGGATACTTGTTAATGTTTATGTTTCAGTTTATGTCCCCTACCCTCTTCTTTTCTGTACCCCTAAAATTTGCATATTGTTATACCTCAATACGTGACAGAATAGTAACAAACACACGAGAACTGACATCTAGGAACACAAAGTTAGGACCAGATACAGGAGGCCAGTAGAGCCTCATTTATAATCGCCCTACACAGAGAGCCCTTACACTACTTACACTACTCACCTGTACGTTATAGCATAACTTACACAACGTCCACACACCACCCAGGAAGCTAACAAAAACCTACGTACCCACGGACCTACTAGCGAACAGAGCAGACTGAAACATATGAAACAACAAAAGGTAGAAAAGAAAAACAAACAGGAAACTTGCGCATAACTCAAGGCCCGATACACAGCACTGGTAAGACACTGTCAGTCATAACAAAGGAAATGTATCTGATGGAATGCAATATAATATACGCTGTCATGGTGTCAACACCAGATTTAAATTTATGCCATGCAAATTAACCTCCCCTTCCCCTTGCTTTCTATTCTGTACCCCAGAAACAAACTAATAAAAATTGTCAAATTGAAAAAAAACAACCTTCAGTGACTTATCGGAATCCAGTGCCAATGTCCCTTGGCGCCTGGTCAGGCTCCGCCTACTCTCCTTATGTCAGCAGGGGAGAACTAATGCGCATGCGCATTAGACCTCCCCATATGAAAGCATTATTCAATGCTTTCCTATGGGGATTTCGGTGATGCTGGAGTCCTCACGTAGCGTGAGGATGTCCAGCGTCATTTAAAACACTTTTCGTGTTCTAAGAAGGGTGATGGGAGTTGGCACCCAGACCACATCAATGGGCAGAAGTGGTCTGGGTGCCTGGAGTGCTAGATTAATTATTAAAAAACATATATATCTCTCTGCAGTATTGTAGAAACTGCAATGTTTTCATTTCAGAGTAAAACACCCCTCTAGTAGCTATCTTCCTGACAGCCACTAGAGGTGCTTCCATAGCAATAACCAAGTAAAACTCGATGATGTGACCAACACAGCTCATAGGAAAGCATTGAATTTCATTTTTGCTATGAGAAGCTTTTGGATGCATGTGCGGCACTCACTGTCCCCAATGTGCCTTTGTGAGGAGCATTGGAATGGCCATTGGGAGAGAGACAGATGACATTGTGGAAGGTGATGCTTGTGGCAGTGACAAGGGGTTGTTGTGGCTGGAGGAAAGAAAACTTTTTTAAGCTGTTTACTGCAAACAGCAGGGGGAGGAGAGGGCCAATGCCTTAAAAGAAATTTGGCACTTGGAACTATAGTATTAGGAATACAGGTTTGTATTTATAATGCTGTAGTGTTCCTTTAACATTTCTTATATACAGTGTTTTAGTAATAACTATAGCCTTCAGTTTGTGCTTTATTTGTATTATGACTTATAATACATTTGTAACAGCTAGTAGTTATTATTTTGTACTATCTCTCTTTTCCCAAATGCTCTTTACTTCTTCTACTACCTTTAGTGCAACACACTCCACTTTCTATTGCATTATTTCTATTACTACCAGGGCTGACGGTTTCCCTGGCTGTATATTTTCAGATTCATTTTCCCGGCACACTCTCTGGGTCTTTACATACACACTCTGTACATTATTTAAATAAATTAAGTTCCTTTATGATAATGCAAATCATATCAGCAATGTACTAATTTGGTATTTAATTTCATTAGACTCATTCAACTCGAAAAAGTTCTTACTCAGATGTCCTTCCTCCACCGGCAGTTGTATCTCCTGCACATATAAACCTTGACTTCCATCGCCATCCAGAGTCCTCCGTGTCTACAGTTTCAAATGGAACATCACAAAGTGATCCCACCATCCGGGTAAATACTAAACCTTGCTATGTAAAATACCAGGGGAAGTAACCTTCGGCACTCCAGATGTTTTGGACATGATGCTTTGCCAGCATTATAGCTGCAAGAGCATTATGGGAGAAGTAGTCCACAGCATCTTAAATGTCAAAGGTTGCCTACCCCTGCAATACTCTATACCAGTGGTTCCCAAATATTTTAGGTTCAAGGCGCCCTTAATGTTTCCATAATTTTCCAGGGTGCCCCAAGTCAAATGTTTCCCTGTCAGGGGCGGATCCAGAACCTAATCTTGGGAGGGGCACTTGTAGATTATTTAAAGAAAAAATCCAGGCACATTAACTACTACAGCATGCGGTAGTGGTTATGGTGCCAGGAGTGCCGTGCTGTCCTCCCAGGGTAAGTAGTCAAACTATTTAAGAGCCTTTTTACAACTTACCTGGGGTCTCCTGGGGTAGGGCCCCGCCATGGTAACTGTGGCAGTGCTCCAAGCTCGGGAGAGGATAACCCAGCGGAGCTGCCAGCATTACACTGCTAGCGGGCCAGTGAGTGAGATCTCTGATCTCCCCTCCAGTCCTGCAGAGCCAGCAGGGGAGATGGAGGCACAGTCCCCATTTTGGGAACTGCTGCTCTATACACTAATAATACTGATGTATAACTACCATTTCCACATAATGCCATATCAGATACATATCAGGTATTGTTTGTAATTCATCCTCTATAGGTAGATAAAATTTCACTCTGAACAAAAAGCCTTTTTAATATATCTCTAGATTAAAATACAATGTATACACTATATATAGTTACATAGCTGAAAAGAGACTTGTGTCCATCAAATTCAGCCTTCCTCACATATGTTTTTGCTGTTGATCCAAAAGAAGGCAAAAAACCTAGTCTGTAGCGCCTCCAATTTTGCAACAAACTAGGAAAAAATTCCTTCTTGACCCCAAAATAGCAGTCAGATGTCTCCGTGGATCAAGCAGCTATTACCCCACTAATTAGAAAATATATACCTGTATGTTATGTTTTTGCAAGTATTTATCCAATTTCAGTTTAAACATCTGTATGGACTCTGATAAAACCACCTCTTCAGGCAGAATATTCCATATCCTTAGCCCTGTTTATGAATAGATTTCCAGATAATGGTTTGTACTGGCCTTGAATATATTTGTAAAATGTTATTACCCGCCGTTTTTCCAAACTAAAGAGATTTAGATTTTTTTAACCTTTCTTTGTAACTAAAATGCTCCATTCCTTTTATCAATTTTGTAGCTAGTCTCTGTACTTTTTCTAGTGTACTTTTTCTTTAAAACAGGTGCCCAAAATTGCACAGCATGTTCAAGGTGTGGTCTTACCAGCTATTTATAAAGAGGCAAAATTATATTTTCAATATTTTCATATTTCACATTATATATGTTAGAGACAGGGCTGCCATCAGAAATTTTAGAGCTCCTGACACATCTCAAGTTCTGGGCCCCTGGGACCCGCCTGGAGTCAGTCCACAGGGACACATCCAAGTGCGCCCACGAGTCAACCTGTAAGGATGAAGTGCGTGTGTGTTTAGTGGATGTAGAATGTGTAAAGTGGATGAGGTCAGTGTAAAGTGGATGCAGTGTATATAGTATAGTGGATTCAGATTGTACGTTTATGTAATGTATGTAGTGTTTGTGTGTATTAGATGCAGAGTGTGTATTTGTATAGTGAATGTACAGTGTGTGTTTGTGTAGTTGATGTAGTGTGTATAGTGATTGCAGAGTGTGTGTTTGTGTAAAAAGTAGTGTGTGCACAGTGACTGCAGAGTGTGTGTATGGTGACTGCAGTGTGTGTTTGTGTAGTGGATGTAGTGTGTATAGTGAATGCAGAGTGTGTATTTGTGTAAGGATGTAGTGTGTGTATAGTGACAGCAGTGTGTATTTGTGTAAGGATGTAGTGTGTGTTCAGTGACTGAAGAGTGTGTTTGTGTAAGAATATAGTGTGTATAGTTAATGCAGAGTGTGTGTTTATGTAAGAATGTAGTGTGTGTAATTAATGCAGAGCGTGTGTTTGTGTAAGGATGTAGTGTGTGTTTGTGTAAAAAGTAGTGTGTGCACAGTGACTGCAGCGTGTGTGTATGGTGACTGCAGTGTGTGTTTGTGTAGTGGATGTAGTGTGTATAGTGAATGCAGAGTGTGTATTTGTGTAAGGATGTAGTGTGTGTATAGTGACAGCAGTGTGTATTTGTGTAAGGATGTAGTGTGTGTTCAGTGACTGAAGAGTGTGTTTGTGTAAGAATATAGTGTGTATAGTTAATGCAGAGTGTGTGTTTATGTAAGAATGTAGTGTGTGTAATTAATGCAGAGCGTGTGTTTGTGTAAGGATGTAGTGTGTGTACAGTCACTGTAGTGTGTGTTTGTGTAAGGATAGAGTGTGTGTTTGTGTAAGCATGTAGTCTGTGTAGTTAATGCAGAGTGTGTATTTTTGTAAGGATGTAGTGTGTGTACAGTCACTGCAGTGTGTGTTTGTGTAAGAATGTAGTGTGTAGTGAGTGCAGAGTGTGTGTAAATGTAAGCTTATAGTGTGTGTAAATGTTGTGGGGTTGCTACTCTGTGGGTAACCTGTGGCAACGCTCTGACGGCTGCTTGGCTCGCAAGAGTTTGACAGAGCAGAGCATCTGGAAAGTGAAGACCGAGTGTGCTGGGCCCCCTGCAGTGAAGAGGTAGCCGGGGGGCCCGCAGTTGCACATATATATAGTGATTATCGCTATATATATGTGCACGTAGGGAATATAGGGCCCGGGACTCCCTGAGCAGTCTGGGCCCCCCAGGACTGTGGGGCCCATGACAACCATCATGGTTGTCATGGCCTGATTGGAGAACAATCATCCACATTGGACAAATGACAACAAAAATCCACAAGATCGTTCTCCCAATTCTGAATGGAGCATTACACTAATATGATGATTCTGAGATGATGGATACCAATACACAATAGCTTATATGTCTACTTATTAGTATTTCTTAGGCTGTCACGTCTTTGGACATTCAGAGGTACGATTTTACCAAGTGCGTAACTAATCTTTCCCTCTTTCCCTTTATGAGTGTTTATGAAAAGCAATACAACTCTTTGATGGGTTTCTCATAGTGTTCATGTAGTTGATAAAAGATAGTAGGTCAGAGAGTTGACATATCAGTGGAAGTTTGCTTGTGGACTTCAAATACAAATTATTTATCTCTTCTTCCACCAGAAAATAAGCACATTGGGTCGTGAACTACCTGGCTATGTCTCACCTTTTGATGAAGTTGGACTGCCAGTTCCAAGGCTGGCTAAGCTGGACGAGGATGAACTGTGAGATTTGTACATGTTTTGCATATATAACTATTCCAGGATGAAGAGGAACAAGTTGCACCCTTTGGTCTGAGACCAATGAACAGAGAAGGATCATGCCCTTGTCCTCACAATGTGCTAAATCTGTGAGAAAGGAACTCACCTTTACGCCTTTTCCAGTCCAATCAAAGACTGCTGGTGAAGCAGTTGGAAGCCTGTTCTATGACAAGCTACGTTTATATGACTGATATACTCCACTAACGCTTGGGTGACTTACTTAATTAAACATTGTGTCCAGTGTTACCTAAATATGGGGACTGACTCTATGTCAATCTTCAGAGAGCCCAAGGAAAAATTACCCGGTGTTGAGGTTTAGCTGTGCTCTTTTTTAAGGACAGTTTCATCATTGGGGAAAAAAAGACAATTGTGCAAGACACCAGAATCCCGGCTAATGCATATGGAAGCTGTAATTTTTAAAACTGAGCAAAATGTTGTGCCTGCATATAAAGTTTGTCTTGATGTGGGGTTATCTAGAGACATATTTTATCCAAGTTTTATACCAATTGTTAGGACTGATGTTTCTGATAGCAAAGTGGGAATGTGACCAGAAGTTACTTTATGTGATTGGATGCCAATCTGTTATCTGATGCTGGTAAAATATAAAATATAGGCTTATTCCTGATGTGTGTCGATCCACAAATCTACAGTTGCAGACAAGAAAGTGCAGAACGAGAAGCAGTTTCATAATTTAACATCACTTTGTTCACCATGAAGGCACCACTGATGGGAAACCAACTGTTCAACATGTGGAATAAATCCCAGTCACACATCTAATCTATCTGTAGACTGACTGTATTACACAGAAAGGAAAATAACAGGGAATGTTTGCATCACATTCTGTAGTTGAATTTTGTGGCATGATATAATATGATATCCATTGATCAACCATTCTGTCAGGAGGGACCTGTATTGCAACACAAAGTAGAATATTTTTAATAAGGACGCACAGTGCATAAGCAATTATTTTTGTACATTCCTTGCATATGCATACATATAGTCCCACTGGTTAATTCACCAAAGCTGGTTAATCTGTCTTTAATAACATTTTATTTTTGCATGTGTATATTTGACACAAAATAGCGTGCTAGCGCTGCACCAAATGTTAGATTATATGTCCGTTAGAATTTGAAACATTCTCATGTTCACAAAATGAACCGATGTTCTTTTAATCACATCAATTTCTTCCCACATGCACTAATCGGGGGGAGACGCTGGCCTGGGATTTCTGTTAGGCAGTAATTTGGTAAATGGTAAAAGGATTTTGTTGTGAGAGCAGATGGTAGTCAAACTACAGCAAGGGCAGAGAGGGCTTTAGGCTTCTGGGTTCTGCTAAAAGTCTCTTTAATGCTTAATAATAACCCTCATAGTGTCTAGCAAACAATGCAGATTGTATGTAACCCAATTATTGAACAAGTCGTTCTGTCCTTTTTCACTCTGAATTATCTATAATATGTCAATTCTGAGAAAGCCAAAGGCAACTTTGTTAAGTCTTCAAGGTTTATTACATAAGCATAGTAAAGGTAAAAAAAATTAAATAGAATTGCAGAAAGATAAGTCCTGCACTCACTCCCATCACTGGGCGGCAGCAATGACTACAGTACACATCAGCCCCAATTTATAGTAAAAACCAAAGAAAAACAAGTTACCTGAGCTCTCTCCTTAATCCCTATGTATTTTTAAACAAATTGAGGTTTTTTCGTTACCTCCAATGGCCATGAGAGGATAAGCCCACCTGCCAACGTCAAGGCAGACCTTAAATAAGTTGTGATGAAATGGCACAAATGAGTCACAATATATAGGTCAAAATAGCTTGGTAGATTTTCCATATATTTTAACATGATTTTTGTAGTTACTCTTATGTTTGCTAACTGACAACAACTCACTATTTAGTAAATAAGCTCCTTTCTGTTTCAAACTCATATAATAATTTTTTTTTTAAAGTGTTTTTTCAAGATGATTTGATGGTGCAATTTCTTGTTATCATTTTAACAGGGGTTTATCTTGATATTTTACCAAATATATTCATATAACGTTCCCTGTGGTTTACAGAAATATATCATATAGGCTGGGCTTAGTGGAATGAATAAGTGCAATAATAATTCTGACATATTTGCATCATGTTAAAAAAGGTTAAATCAAGGTCCCTTAATGGATGTTAAAACCCTGGCTTTTTAATCCATGTTTCACATAAAAGCACCAAATAAGATAGGACCTGTAACTGATACACTAATTACCTTGGTTCTACATTTCATGGAGCAAAAATATGTAATAAATCAGCATGTGATAGTCTGCTGGATAGAACTCAATTTGCTGTAGCATTCATCTGGAGATACAATAATGAAGGCCATATGTCCCCTTTTATTTGAGACACGTAGAAAAGCTGCATTTGCAGTACACATAACTATCTAGGATCCCTTATAGGCAAAGGAGAGAGACACTGATCAGCCACAACATTAAAACCACCTGCCTAATATCGTGTAGGTCTCCCTCGTGCTGCCAAAACAGCTTTGGTGCATCAAGGCATGAACAACACAAGACCTCTGAAAAGTGTCCTGTGGTGTCTGACACCAAGACATTAGCAGCAGATCCTTTAAGCCCTGCAAGTTGCGAGATGGATGTCCATGGATCAGATTTGTTGTTCCAACACAACCCACAGATGCTCTATTGGATTGAGATCTGGGGAATTTGAAGACCAAGGCAAAACACTGAACACTTTGTCATGTTCCTTAAACCATTCCTGAACTAATTTTGCAGTGTGGCAGGGTGCATTATCCTGTTGAAAGAGGCCACTGCCACCATGCCATGAAGGGGTGTATGTGGTCTGCAACAATCTTTAGGTAGGTGGTATGTATCAAAGTAACAACCACATGAATGCCAGGGCCAATGGTTTCCCAGAAGAACATTGTTTAAAGCTTATTAACACTGTTTCCACCGGCCTGTCTTCTTCCCATAGTGCATCCTGCTGCCATCTTTTCCCCAAATAAATGACGCACATGCACCAGGCCACCCACCTGATCAAATAAAAAATGTGATTCATCAGACCAGGAAAACGTCTTGGTTCAGTTCAGATGCTCACATCCACATTGAAGGCACTTTCAGCAGTGGCAGTGGTCATCATTGGCACTCTGACTGGTCTGCGGCTAAGCATCCCCATATGCAGTGAACTGTGATGCACTGTGTGTTCGGATACCTTTCTATCATGGCCAGCATTACGTTTTTCATCAATTTGAGCTTTCAGTTGCTCTTCTGTGTGATTGGACCTAACAGGCTTGCTTTTGCTCTCCACTTGCATCAATTAGCCTTTGGCACCCATGACCCTGATGCCAGCTCACTGGTTGTCCTTTGGTAGGTACTAATCACTGCATACCGGGAATACCCCACAAGACTTGCCATTTGAAGACTTGCTATTTGGCTCTTGTCAAAGTCACTCAGAACTTTCTGCTTGCCTATTTTTCCTGACTATTTACTTTTTTTGCCTGACATATCCCACCCTTGACAAGTGCCATTGTAAAGATATAATCAATGTTTTTCATTGCACCTGTCAGTGGTTTTAATGTTGTGGCTGATCAGTGTATGTAAACGAATTAAAAACTATATCGGCTGCCCCCTCCTTTTTGAATGAAATCTAAGAAGACCATGTTGCTAAGTGAAGACATGCGCATACACACGCACACACACACATTTTTTCTTAAACTGTATCTCTCCAGTTGAAATTTATACAAAAAGTGGTAAGGAATATGAAGCTTAAAACTGATTTATGCCATCTGCATAGCATGAACATTACTCATGACTAAAGTTAGACTAAGAGTTTTTCCAGTCATAGAGAAAAACAAATAGTTGTCAGATTTTAAATTCTGACTACATGACTAGTTTCTGTAATGTGAATCCAATTTAAAAAAAACAACACAACTCTATAGCTGTATGATAGTGGTCTACAAAATAATTTACACTCTAACCATCTATCTGTCTGCTCACCTTGTACATTGGGGAATTCTATGTAATGGACTGATCTTGATTCTAAAAAACAACACCAATATATTAGATATTTTCAAGGGAAATATTTATTGAAAGGAAGAGTTGTGGATTCACCCACACCATAAAAAATGCCACAGGTTTAATTTATAAACCTAAAAAAAAAACAACCATACAAGTTGATTTTAGAAGACAAAGCAGGTCAAGAAAGGAATTAACATGGTAAAAAAAAAAGTGAAAAATGTATGTATAAGGAGATGACAACTGCTAGCTTGCCATCAACTTAATAGCTGCTTCAGACAATCCTGTTCTGACATCCATAACTGAGCCCATCCTGATTTTTGTTTTATTTATTTATTGTTTTTTGTTTTTTTTTGTAAATCAGAAAATGTTATCTTTTTCTTGTTCACAGATTGGGATTTTTCCACTCTATAGAACAGTAATGCCTGCCATTGAGTTAGCTTGACCATAATATGCTCATTCAACAAGCAATATTTCCCTTTCATCAACTTTGATGTTAATAACAATTTATTACAATTCTTTGTTGAACTGACCTCTCTCTCTGCTCATGTCTCTGTGGAATGAGACATTGGCAGAGCAGAATAAAGTTGGCTCTGATTGTTGTTCCTGACAAACATTTCTGTGGTGAAAGCACAAGAACAATTACATTTTCCGCAATAATTGTGTTACCGATCTTTGCTGGAATAACAGATAAAAAAAACAAAAAACTAATATAGGCTTTTAATGTGCTATTTGGCTGTCAGTGTATTGTTTGTAGGTATTGTTCTGGTATCACCAGACTCTCGTACCAATATGGCAGCTTGGGTGAAATATTAAAATGGCAGACTACTTCATCACTAAGGACAAAATGGCTTCCCAAATCAACAGAAAAGAAAATCTAAAGATTATGAAATGAAAGATGCAAAATATTAAGGTTAAGAGGACCTTCTAAATATGTTAGCCAATACTATCCTTTAATGCACTGTTATGTTTACAAATGGAATTATGATGGAAAAAAATGCTTTAATTTTAAACTGAAGGTATTTTGTTACAAAAGAGTATATCTTTAATCAGAGTGTTGCCAGTTCTCAAACGCCTGTGCTAAAGACTCACCAACACAGCAGATTTATTTCCGCAAATTTTTACAGCGATACTGTCAGATCCGCTGTGCTAATACGAGTTATTTAATATTGATATAATAACTTTGGGAGAACATCCTGAAGATTAAATCTGAGATTCTAGGGTTCAGAAAAATGCTACTCTACAATTTAGTGTAGAAGGCTCCAAATTCACATAGGGGTGTACTAGATCCCATCACATTAATACTATGGTATATAAAGTCCTGAAGTTAAATTAACCATGGGATGTATTCAGACAATGAGTAAATTGAGAACCAAATTGCAAACTATCAGAAAAAAAATAGCCAAGGTATGACTAGGCCAAAATAACTAATTTGTTAAAATTCCCCATATCAGCCATAGATTTAGCAATTATTTATATTATCATTTTTACTTCACCAGAACTTGTTAATTAGTGTAAAAAAAAAAAAAAACCCAACCCAGTGATCATTCAAAACTCCATAATCATTACTTGGACAGCCCTGAACAGGATGTTACCTTTGAGTTCTTTGGTGAATTCATTCATATTTTTAAGAAATGTATCCACTTTCTGGGTTACGTAAAACAAAACTTTATATTTGATATATTTAAATATATTTCAGCATAGATTATTGCTCATGCTAAATTAAATGTTTTTGTATACTTTTTTTTTTTAATTGCAAATCCCTGTTTCCCAAAAATTATAAAGCCTATCCCAAAGGTATTTTTATCCCGTAATCTGGGACCTTTTTTTTTTGTATGATCATGAAACTTGTTTAAATGAAGATTGTTTGAGTGGAGCCATATTACAATGCTCTTGTCAGCTGTGAAAGAGTGATTAATATTTAGTTCTTATGTGAGTGATTTCTGGCTCACCTGTGTCATTGAGAGGAAAGTGTGTATATATTGAATTCTTTATGGGAAAAACAGGAGATATCTTTTTGATGTCTCTGCAGCCTTGTGTGACTGTCAAAATGCTGGCGTGAGGTTGACTGGAAGTTGTGTGTGGGATTTCTCTATGCTTTTGTTGTTGTTGAAAACGGTATATGTTTTCTAAGAATAATTGAAAGAAGAGCGTATTTTCCCAGTGGCGTATTTTTGAGCCATACACACACTTGTCTATAGCATTAAACCGAGTTAATTTGTGGCATCACTGCACATCCACTGCACTGTTCATTTGGAGGCGTTTGTTGGAGCCACTGGGTGTTTAAATATTTAATACACAAAAAGCAAATTAGGAAGGAGACCAGTTCTAAGCTGGGATTCACGAAATAGCACACGTGATACTAGCCAAATATCGTTGTTACTTCATATAGCCTGTCTTTCCCTTGCCCTGAAAGCGGGTCAGTGTATAATAAACTTGTATATGCATGTTTTATGGAATAATTTCTGATCTCAGCACTATGTTGTACAATATAAAGTGGAAAATATATGTAAAAGGGCAGTGGGGGGGGGGGAGGGGGGGGAAGGGGATTGCAAAATTTGAAGTTTTTTGTTTACTAATAAAGCTTTTGGTATATCAAAGGTGAAATTTAATTTTAATTTCTATGTCTTCTTTTTTCACACAAATTGATCGATGGCTGAGTTGACGTGTATACACTTGAAATAGTAATGTTATATTTCCTGACATTTTTAGGTGATGGTAATATTTTTGCCGTGAGGAAAAATTTGTTTTATGCAACAGGCTGAACAATGCACAGTAAATATTTTGAGATAAAGTGTTGACAGATAAACTCAAGTCCAAATACATGCAAATTTGAACATTGATGTTCACTTAATTAAGCAATTACTATTATCTGACCTGAATGAAAGGAAAGGAATGACAGGAAACTGTTGCTGTAAAATATTGCATGTAAAATATGAAGAAACAACTTTTTTTTTTTTTTTTTTGGTCTTCATATTTCTATGTTTCAGTCACTGATGAATAAATTAGCAGCATCACTGAAACCTGTGAAGATTGTGAGGTCAAGGGAAAGTCCTTTGTCTTTGTCGACATATGCTTGCCACTACCTTGCCACTAAAACAGAGATTAACCAAACAGGTTTATTAACAAAAGTGAAAATTCTAAGTGAATTTGAGTTGAATTTCAAATTTAAGGACAGAGTTGTAGAACTGAAAGCATACTTGACATAGAGAATTTAGAGGTCTGAAATATGATCAATTCTACACTACTTAAGTTGTGCTTAACATGCATGGTGCAGCTGTGATGCCCAGTGTAAAGCTACCCAGGTTCCATGGAACAAAGTGTAAAGAGACAGATTTGCATGTCATGTGCCTCAGAGTATTAGTGTACTATTGAAGAATTTTTTGTCCCAGGAGAAAGATAGGAAGGTGGTGCACACAGCGCCCCCTTCTGGGTCTGTCACTAGATATACTGTAACCAAGTGGACTATATTCCTATTCCCAGTCTACAGTTGGAAAGTGGATATGCAGGGCCGCCATCAGGGGGTGACAACCATGATGGTTGTCACGGGCCCGGCGGTCCTGGGGGCCTGAACTGCTCTGGCAGTCCCGGGCCCCACTTTCCCTCTCTGCACACATAGATAGCGGATATCGCTATCTATGTGTGCAGCCGCGGGCCCCCGGCTCCCTGTTACCGCAGAGGGGGTCCAGCACACTGCCTGTTCTCCTCTCTTCTCTCTTCTAATAACTCTCGCGAGACCTGCGGCCTTCTGAGCATTGCCATGGCAACATTACGCGCGGCACAAAGGCTGCGGGTCTCGCAAGAGTTATTAGAAGAGAGAAGAGAGGAGAACAGGCAGTGTGCTGGGCCCCCTCTGCAGTAACAGGGAGCCGGGGGGACCCCCATGCCACTGGACCACCAGGGAATGAATCTCCCCCCTCCCTGGTCACAGGTAAGACACAGGGAGGGGCGAGAAACATTTAACTAAATTTAATAGAAAATTACTGTGAAAATGCCCCTTCCTCCCCCTCCCCCCCAGATTGCACATTTACACACACACTGCATACACTAACACAACACACACTGCATACACTAACACAACACACTACATACACTACATACACTACATACACTAACACAACACACACACACTGCATACACTAACACAACACTCACACACTACATACACTAACACAACACACACACACACTGCATACATGAACACAACACACTACATACACTACATACACTAACACAACACACACACACACTGCATACACTAACACAACACACACACTACATACACTAACACAACACACACACCGCATACACTAACACAACACACACACACTACATACACTAACACAACACACACACACTGCATACACTAACACAACACACACACACACACTACATACACTAACACAACACACACTGCATACACTAACACAACACACACACTGCATACACTAACAAAACACACACACACTACATACACTAACACAACACACACTGCATACACTAACACAACACACACACTGCATACACTAACACAACACACACGCTGCATACACTAACACAACACACACACTGCATACACTTGTACAATACACTCTGCATTCACTACACTAACACACACTCTGCATTCACTACACACTAACACACACTCTGCATTCACTACACACTAACACACTCTCTGCATTCGCTACACTGACACACACTGCATTCACTACACTGACACACACTCTGCATTCACTACACTAACACACTCGCTGCATTCACTACACATTAACACACTCTCTGCATTCACTACACTGACACACACTCTGCATTCACTACACATTAACACACTCTGTGCATTCACTACAGTGACACACACTCTGCATTCACTACACTAACACACACTCTGCATTCACTGCACTGACACACACTCTGCATTCACTACACATTAACACACTCTCTACATTCACTACACTGACACACACTCTGCATTCACTACACATTAACACACACTCTGCATTCACTACATGCTAACACAATCACTGCATCCACTACACTGACACACACTCTGCATTCGCTACACATTAACACACTCTGCATTCACTACACTAACACACACTCTGCATCCGCTACACACTAACACACACTCTGCATTCACTACACATTAACACACACTGCATTCACTATACATTTACACACACTCTGCATACACTAACACAACACACTACATACACTACATACACTAACACAACACACACACACTGCATACACTAACACAACACTCACACACTACATACACTAACACAACACACACACACACTGCATACATGAACACAACACACTACATACACTACATACACTAACACAACACACACACACACTGCATACACTAACACAACACACACACTACATACACTAACACAACACACACACCGCATACACTAACACAACACACACACACTACATACACTAACACAACACACACACACTGCATACACTAACACAACACACACACACACACTACATACACTAACACAACACACACTGCATACACTAACACAACACACACACTGCATACACTAACAAAACACACACACACTACATACACTAACACAACACACACTGCATACACTAACACAACACACACACTGCATACACTAACACAACACACACGCTGCATACACTAACACAACACACACACTGCATACACTTGTACAATACACTCTGCATTCACTACACTAACACACACTCTGCATTCACTACACACTAACACACACTCTGCATTCACTACACACTAACACACTCTCTGCATTCGCTACACTGACACACACTGCATTCACTACACTGACACACACTCTGCATTCACTACACTAACACACTCGCTGCATTCACTACACATTAACACACTCTCTGCATTCACTACACTGACACACACTCTGCATTCACTACACATTAACACACTCTGTGCATTCACTACAGTGACACACACTCTGCATTCACTACACTAACACACACTCTGCATTCACTGCACTGACACACACTCTGCATTCACTACACATTAACACACTCTCTACATTCACTACACTGACACACACTCTGCATTCACTACACATTAACACACACTCTGCATTCACTACATGCTAACACAATCACTGCATCCACTACACTGACACACACTCTGCATTCGCTACACATTAACACACTCTGCATTCACTACACTAACACACACTCTGCATCCGCTACACACTAACACACACTCTGCATTCACTACACATTTACACACACTGCATTCACTATACATTTACACACACTCTGCATTCACTACACACTAACACACACACTACATTCATTACACTGACACACTCTGCATTCACTACACACTAACACACACTCTGCATTCACTAAACTATGCACACACTCTGCATTCACTATACTGACACACACTCTGCATTTACTATACTGACACACTCTGCATTCACTACACTAATATACACTCTACATTAACTGTACACACATCATCCACTACACAAACATCCTGTATTCACAGTACACACACTACATCCACCACAAATTGAAACACTCTGCATCTACTACACACACTACATCCACTACATACACTGCATCCACTAAACACATTTCATCTAGTACACACAAACACTACATCCACTGCACAAACACACACTACATCACTGTACACACACTACATCCACTACTCAAACACACTCTGCGTTTACTATATACACTGCATCCACTACTCAAACACACACTCTGCATTCACTGCACAAACAGTATCTAATACACACAAACACTACATCCATTACACACATTCTAATTCACTTCCACTATACACACCACATTCAGTCCTGCATTATTGTGAGCGGACTAGGTAGGGCGTGGGCGGGCCCAGGGGGAGGGAAAGAGGGGGGGGGCAGTCCTTGTGCTTTGTCAGGGGCTCCAAAATTTCTGATGGCGGCCCTGTGGATATGTTGGTGGAAGGTTGGATGGGGGACACAAGGAGAGGGATATATTGTAAAAAAAGAAATATAATGGATATGAGGGGATTAATAGGCACACAATGTGTAAAAGAGGGGCTTAAGAGGCACACAAGCTGTAAAAGAGCTGAGTTAAGAGGCACACAAGTGGTAAGATGATGGTTAAGAGGCACACGTGGGGTAAGAGGGAGTTAACAGACACACAAAGGGTACAATATACAAAGATTGCAAATTACAATTTGGGGTGGGTTGTGCAAACAGCCTTTGACAAATTGGCCAAAAGTTATTTTAAGTTCAACAACAACTGCTATTTATTTTTATTCATTAAAGAAACTTAAACATAAAGGGTACTGTCACTTCACGGGATTTTTTTTCTTTCAATTTGACAATTTTTATTGTTTTAGAACATTTTCCAGGGGTACAGAAAAAGAAGTAAGGGATGGTTAGTTGGGGTAAATGGTTGATTGATACACATTGCACAGACATCAATGTAGAACGTCACACATGTATACATCGTTAGGTCCTTATCATGGCTATATCTAGTCTAGTAGGTTTCCCAGCACAGATCTCTCTTAGCTATTACCACACTTCATACTATGAGTTTCACATTCAGCACGGGGCTGGGGGGAAAGGGAGAAAGG